AAAAAAAAAAAAAAGAAAAGAAAAAAGTTGAAAGCCTGCTCTAGACTCGTAAACTCGCTGCAGGGAAATCTGATGAAAGCTAGCTATAGAAACTATACGGAGGGTTATGAAGTTTCTCTTTCGCGTCGCAACAACGCCTCCGTTTACTAATTTTCCCTGGCAAAGCTCTAGCAGCTCTTTCGACTTCTTTTCAATCGTGCCCACGCTTAATTATGTATCGTGTTTTTTCTCGCTTTAAACAATAAACTCGGCGTCCTCGCTGTGTTTGAACTCGTCGCTCTCGCCTGAATAAATCTCGCCTGAACGTTCCAAACGATTCGAAACGATTGTTCGACACGGCTCTTGTGTGATCCTGTGTGTGTGTGTGTTATTCACGGCGTGACTGATGACTTTTTATCGTACGTCGTGCGCCATCCATTCCGCCTACTTACGAGATAAACAAGACCCAAAGCGTCTCTCAAAGACTCACTCTCTGCTTTGAAATATCCAGGACGTCGAACACTCGGCTGAAGAAGACGACATTGTCGAGAACACTCCTAGCACAAAGACGAAAATGTAAGTAACACGCGAGTCTCTCGCGTAACTCGTCCATTCTTCTTCTTCTTCATCTCAATTGTTGAGAAAAAAAGAAAGGCGCGTTATATACATTTCATTAACGAAATTACGCGTCGACGTAATTTTAATTACACCGTTCGAATATTTCGCATCGAGGCAATCGGATTCCCCACCCCATTCGAGCAATCCAATTGTTTACCCAGTTCTTTTAGTCAAATCAAAATATACGTGATGTGTAATTTTAATTAGATTCCGTTTCCGATTTCCCTGACAAATATTACAATCGATGCAATCGAATTCCTCTCACTCTATTTAATGCAACGAAATTTCACGATTGCGACAATCTGTCCGATAATATTACGTGAGTATTTGTTTATCGACGAATAAACAGTTTTGAGAGCTTCTTGGGTCGGAATTAACTTTCACGTGAAATTAAAAGCGTAATAATCGCAGAAGCTTTTTTTCTATTCTATTCAATTTAACATTTCGCGCGCGCGCAAAAAAAAAAAGAAAAACAGAAACATGGTCGTCTGATGAAATGAAGATTGCTTTCGCATAAAACTCCATCACTCGTAATACCACGATCCGATATCCACCGTCAAACCGTGCAATTTCTCGCTTTCTCTAGTTTGGAAGCGATCAGTTCCACGCAGAGGAGCTCGAACTCGAGGATCATGAGGAAACAACAGTCAGGCGTGGAGACACCGCGCTCGAGGAATGGCAAAAGTCCCAGCAACTTCAGCACTCCGGGTTCCAAGACCAACATTCCACCACTCTGCCAGAGCACTCCCAAGACCTGTCACACCAACTCCATGACGTTCATCCCTCGCGCCAGCCAGTCACTGAACAAAGAAGCGAGGAAGAACAGTGCGAGCCAAAGCGTTCAGAAAACTGCCGTTCAAAGCGTTCAGAGGAACACTGT